ATTGGCATGACCCACATAATGAGAAACACGAGTGAAATCCTGTTTCAATGGCAGAAGTCCATTAATCGGATCAGTCCATCTTGATGGAACCACTATTTCCCTTAAACAAAGGAGGTGCAGGGGATTTGGCAAGATTGGCAATTGCCAAATAAAAGTAATTTAAAACAAAATGTGTGATCTGCTGAAGAATAGCATGGCTTGATATCACCAAAAGCATAAGATTGTACATGCATTGTACATAGTTCAGCTTATCCTCCTTTTTGTGAAATTCACTATTGCTTCATTGAATGGATTGCTGCTCACTAAGTTAAGAAAAAGAATATATCAGGCACTAAACTATAATAAGTGTAATCAGTGGAGAAGAAAAAAAGGCAAGCATTTTACTACAATGTCTGCAAAGTTAGAAGAGTGCAAGAAGAAAGTTTTGTGGTGACTAGCCTCTCGAAAGCCAAGAAAATACAATGTATGTTGCTAGAGTCACAAGCTGCAAGTGCTTAATTTATTTTTTAAAAATATCTTGTTCATATTACAAACATAACATATTATGAAATGCTGCCAATCTCTAGAAATATTCAAATGGACACATTTTTTAATCATATTCAGCTTTAGTTAGCTAGAAACAGTAGCTTTTATGTGGATTTATGAACTAAATTTCAACTAGTTCACTTCAAAATGCTAGACAGAAACATCTGAAGCAGAAGTTGAAGATGAGGTTATGCATGCTCCCTGCAAGTACATCTGGAGGACTCACAAGCCAACAGTCTAAACTATCTCCTTTGCACTCGATGAGCACAGTATGCTTCAAGGAACACAAGCCATGATATGGTTTTATACAACAAGTTCCAACCTTTCAATTGCGCACAAAATCAATTGGAAAACAAACTGCAGAGTCAAGGCATCGCTTGATGTGAAATATTACTATCCAATTAAGTACCAGATCAGCCCTTCTCCTAAGCTGGATCTGTGAAGAACCTGTGACCTTTGCATTCCTGGGGCTTTTCCTCAGCTAGGATCAAAGCTCAGATGTGTAAATACAGGTGGGGAGCAGCTATCATTCTGCAACTCCCGAACAAGTGCTCCTCTCCCCAGACCCCATCCATAAACAGTAAAAATTAAAAATTACTCATCAGTTAGAAGCTATAATTTTTTCTCTGGTCCATGAACAGTAACAGTAAACAATGTCCTTTGAGGCTTGCCTGCGGGCTCAGTGAGAGTAGCTCAGAGTATTGGGACACAGTTATTTCCCTCACTGCAGCAAACCAAGGGCACAGAAACATTACTGCCACCAGTTCTCCCATTTCACTAACTAGTGAGGTGAAGACCCTCTCCCTCCCCACCCCTTCCCTGCTTTGGCCCTGGGAACAGTGTGGTTTGTCTCCCAGTTCTACAGGAAATGTTTTTAGAAGATCAACAGCATGAAAAATGCTAGGACATGGGAAATAAATTACACATAGAGATACATTAGTTAGTTATTTCATTACTAGTGTATTGGTTCCTATACAAATACCAACACCTAAGGTCATTAGGAGTTCCTTACGTGGTCTGAAAACACACGGTGGTGCCAGACTGCCGGAATCACTGATACTAGCAGGACTAACGCAGGACCCGTTTCCTTTGAGTCTTATTTCCTCTTTCAGGTCAAACAGGCCCTTTGGTGCAATAAGAGGCACAAGAACTGTTCAGTGTTTACTTTAAAGTGAAAATATATTTTAGATTTTAAAAAAATGTTTTGTGATAAGTGTGAAACATGTAAGAACCATCACTTCAGCTGTATCAGCTAAAATACAACGCTCCATAGTCACTATCTATCGGCATTATACATGGCTAAAGGAAAGTGGAATCCATCAGTCATTCAGTAATTATGGAATACAGCATTAAACTCCGGTCTTCTATTTGAAAGCGAGGTCAAAATTAAAAAAAAAAACCAACACAAAAACACTAATTGCTGGCATGCATCATCTTGGCTGTCATTTTATTTCCACGCCAGATGCAAGAAAGCTCAAGGATTCAGGTCAGACTATTGAACTAGCATTTAATCAACCTTGAATGTTGGTTGAAAAAGAAAATTATGATATAGATAAAATATAAAAATGTATATAGAGGTTAAAAAGTTCCAGTTTTCACTGTTCATATTTGAAGACATAGGAATTAATGTATTTAAATTATTTTTTTCAGATAACAATCATTTTTACTAAGAATATGAAGGAATAAAAGTCTGGAAGAAGGGCAGTAAGTCTCAGAAAATTAATTGATAATAAACATAGGGAAAGGAATAATCAGGTAAGGGAAATCTAAAAAAGGCGACACTGAGTTCCCTAGTTCCCAACACCGCACAAAAATCTTATTTGGAAACTCCCAGTCTACCTATATTTTAAAGTCTAGTTTGCTTCTAAGTATTACCAGAGAAAAATTCTTAAAGCAAGCTCAAATATATTCTCAGAAGTTATTAAACAGGCACAAACAAATATTTGAAAGTATAATTTTCTCCAAGAAATGTGATTCTTCCACCTTGGCCCTACTTTTGTTTTTGCCTTCAGTTATTTATACGAAAAAATTACATCCCCCACCCCCCCACAAAAAAATTCTGGGTCAGTTCTTACACTGATGTAAAAACATGCTGATGTAAACAGAGCCGTGATAATTTATATTAGCTGTAGAATTTTCTCTTATTAAATTCAGTTGCTGCCAGACTATTTTGTATAAACAGCTCTATAAACAGATATCTGTTAATCCAGCATTTTAACACGAAAGAAGTACCAGTGTTACTTTCAGCTTGAAACTTCAAGAACAAGAAAATCTCAGAAATGAGTGGAATATTTATCCAACATATTCCAAGTGAACATCGTAAGAAAATATTTTGGAATAAACACATATTTAAACCATAAATCCTGATGAATTACCACAAGGGATTTTTCACAGAGAAGAGCTGCAAGAGGTGGTTTGGTTTTTTTTTTTCTGTTGGCAAAATAAATCCAGTAGAATAACTGCTAAGAAAGCATTTAATAAAGGTCACACTTGAGCCTTCACAAACAAGAATTTTAGTTAATGCCCTAGCAGTCAGCAATTAAGTTTGCACATCTGATAGCTTTACAATATAGACTGGAGAACTGCATTAAACTACATACATTTACATGGCAATTCCTACAGTCAGGAGATCACTTTCTGGTGTTTCAGAAAGCCAATGACCTTGTACAGAAACCGGGAGACGTAAAGGTGCTCCTGCCCTGGAAGATTCCACTGTTCCCTGTAATCATATCCAGTGGATGGATGCTGGGGCCATACCAGACATTAACTTAAGAGCATCCCTCAAGAGAGAGAGTAGAAACTTAAGATAACATTAGAAAAGACTCTTCAGTTAAAGCAAACCGAAGCATACGGTAACAGTTTAAACCTAAAACCTAAAGGCATCTCAACTGCCAAGTTATAAGCCAGCTTCATTTTTTTGCATAACCAGCATGAGACAGAGCCAGTCCTCTAATAAGGGACGGATGTAGCAGTTTCAGTCTCATTGCCCATTTTCAGATTTATCTTAAATGACAACAAATAACAAATGCGGCAAGCAAAACAGAATCTGAACTGAGGCAGGTAAAACCAGGCACTACCAGGACAAATTTTTCTACTACTTGCTAACCTGCCATAACATTTTCACTACAGCACTAGTAGCCAGCTTGTCCTGTCACTAAAAGTTACAGGCTAAAAATCTGAAAAACCCAAGACGCTTTCGCTCAGGATACTCACAGCACCAAAAAACCCAGCACTTCAGGGTACTGCAGTAGTACACAAGGCCTATGGCACTTCACTGTAGTGTAGGGTAGGAAACAGGTGGCCAAGGTTAGGGATAAACTAGGTCCCACAGTAATTCGGCTTGAGCAATCCTGTTTGTTCGTTCCTCGCACAGCTGGGGATGCAGATTACCAAGCAGAGTTCGTGCAGGCCCACCAGCAATTGCATGACAGCCCCTCTGCATTGACTCTTCAGTGAGTACTGTGGCTTGCCCAGCTGTAGAGGACAACTAAGAAACACCATACTCTGTTTCTGCTCTGCGATACCTTGTAACATCTTCGCACAGCTTCATCTGCTCCCGTTTCCTTTTTCCCAGAGCTTTGCTGTGCTAAAGAAGGGCGTCTTTGATTTTCTGATGCTTAGCTCAGTTTTTGTCATGCCATGCATTCTTGCATCTCTTGATTCTCTGACCTTTGTTTCTGCTTGCTTCTGTTCTCCCTTGAAGGTGCTCTAGGGGTCTCTGGGGCCTGAGAGACCTGTTGTGCAATATGGGTCTTACACGCTCCTTAAAAGCTAGTTCTACCGCGGAAGCAGTAGTGTGAACAGGCTAGTTCACTGTCTAAGCCCATGCAGACATGGTTCTCCTCCCTGAGAGTTCTGGTTGAACATCTTCCGACCATTTTTCCAGACTGAGGCATTAGCAATTCACTTAACATAAACTAGTGAAGAGTGTACCCCAATACCTCATTGAATAGTGTAGACTTGCAGACTTTAACCAAATGTGGAAGGTGACCTACAGGTAGTAGTAAACTAAATAGATGATCATTCCTGAGCAATTGCATTGGTACATCAAAGTGGACTGGTGCTGTAATCACACTATCTTTATAAATACTGTATTGCATTGCAATTATTTTAGCAAAATAGTGAGTTACAAGACTAGTATTTTTGTCAATAACTGTGTGGAAATAAGAAATAATCTGCCACTATTCAGCAATTACATTATAAACTGAAGCGCACAGCACCCTTGTTCCTTCAGTCTTACTTAAAGAGATTACAGTCAGTGTTAACACAACTGTGAACACTGACATGGGAATAAGAACTAATACTGACTGGGAAAGAACTGACATATTAAAGCATACCTGTGAAGTAGAGGAGCCTGAGAACACTATATTTTGGTTTTGCCAATGCTTTGTTTATCAGCAATTTTCTGGCATGGGGTATATTCCAGGAATATAGAAGTTCTTGTGATCTTTAAGAAGAAGGGAAACAGATCCAGGGAAATTATAAACGTCCAATTTAATTCAAGTTATTTCAAAAACGTGTGAACAAATTAGTCTACCTTGTCTGAGTCAATAGAATAATAGCTAGGTAAGTAACAGTCAAGGATCTGTCAAGAAGAAATTGTGCCTGACCTGGATATTAGAAAGAAAACTGACCTGTTTTCTTCCCAAGATCAGGTATTAGGGTGGTACACATCATGTATCTTGACTCGAACAACTGTATCGGATGTTACATAAAAGCTGGGAGAATACAGTCTAAATAAAACCACCATAAGACAGAGGGAAATTGTGCTCAAAAGAGTAATCAATTGTTCCCTGTCAGAGTGAAAAGAAGTATTGTATTAGATTCCAAGAAGTAAGGAAAGGCCAGTATCATACAGCATTTTCAGAAATGATTTACAATAATTAGAGAGCGCATTTATTAAATTTGCAGAGGACATCTGGCTGGAAACTGTTGCCAACTTGTTGGAGGACAGGGTTAATGTACAGAGCAAAATTAGAGAAATGCCTTAAGGGGAAAAAAAACCTGTTAGACACCAAGTTCTGACACTTGGGTAGGAATAAACAATACGGGACAGGGAAAAAGCGGGCTAAGTAACAGTTCTAAGATCAAATCTGATAAATAGTAGACAAAGCAGCGTGGAAGGGAAAAAAGAGAAATTATGATTGCAATCTGAACACGTTAACAATATCAAGCTGTGATGGCAAAAAGTGTCATACTATGATATGTAACCACAAACAGAGCTTGCAAATTGGATGAAAAAAAAAAATCCTACTGCTGCTCTTGGTTTTTGTAAGACCGTAGTCTGACTGCCACGTCTAGTTTTTCTAGACAGATCTAGTCCACTTAGTGAGAGTTCAGGAAAGAACGAGAAAAAGTAATGAGCACATTACAAACAAGGGAAGACTGCAGGAGCTGGGGTTGTCTAATATACTGAAGAAAAGACTAAGGGGAGGTTCAGACAACATGCTTTGCACATATAAATGTTAGCTGCCATGAGTAAGAAAATAAACAGTTCTCCACATTAGTGGTGGTCATGGAACAGTGGACATAACAGTCTTCATAGGGGATTTCCCTTGTATATTAAGACTTTCTAGCAGGACAGGTAGGTAGAAGCTGGTTAGTTTGCCTAAAAATGTTGTGAAACCTAATTTTTTTTTTTTTTTTTTAAAGAAATAAGTTAGACAATAACTGTCAGAAGTGAGTTACATATAGATGACCTTGCTTTGGGTAGAATAATGATTGGGTAGTTTTAGCGTGATGCTTCAATGTAATAAATATTGCCATACATAATTTTAAAGATTTGAAGATGCTACACAGAAAAGAAAAGTAAGTATTCAGAAAATGCCCAAAGTTATTTGGAAACGAACTTTGAACCACATACTTAGCTCATAGTGCAACACCACAAGTTACAGAAATGTAATGCTTACTTGCAAAGTTTCATACAACTGAATTTAAAAAACCAAACTTCCCCAACTATTTGTATCCTGGTCATGATTTCTACATAATGTTCTTGCACTTAAGCAAACAGTTTAGCAGCAAACACATATAATTTATTTTACAGCACTTTTTTTTCCCCTGTATTTCCTTCAAAATTCTGAAGTGATTAGAAGATAAAAGTTTTTACATAAACTGATGACTTTAAAGAATAATGCTTCTAAATAAAAAAATGCTTCACATCTTCATCTGAATCAGTTCCATAAAGAATATTCCAAGACATATTTTACATTCAAGTCAGTAAGACAGAATGTTATAATAAAACAAATCAGCTTGCAAATACATACAGTATTACAGACTAAGAATTAAAAATCCATTTATCCATCATCACAACAGTGAACTGCAACAATTTATGATGACATGAAGTTTAATACCCGAACCAGAAAAAAAAAATTAGTAACTATAAAATAATTTAGCTTTATTTAATAAAATCCTTTGATATTCTTACGTTCCAAGAAATGCAGAAACAAACATTTCCAGATTTTCTTTCATGCCAAATGGGAGCATTTAGCAAAGGTTTTCTTTTTCACTTGCCTGAAGCAAGTTAGGGTAAATGTTGGACATACATTTTGAAAATTATTATGTATTGCGATATCCCAATATTGTCTTTCTGATGATATTAAACAGTAGCACCATCTACTGGTCCAGAAGATCCTTTCAAACTTTAGAAAAAGCTGTGGAGAGTGATCCAGCCAAAACGATGCAAAACGCTACTGAGAGTAACACGTATTTTTTCAGTCCCTGGAGAGCGAAAGAGAGAGAAAAAGAAACATATCATGTTGTCATAATAGGTACCACTTCACAAAAAAAAAAAAAGTAAAATAAAAAACTAGGGTTTTGTTTTGTGACAAAATTATGAATCCGTTACATGTAATGGTAAATTTTATACCATTTTATTTCATATAATGTTTGTAACATATTTGCTGTTCAAAACAGTTTAATACAAGTAATCTATGATGCCATACAGTTAGTAAAATATTCACAGAATTAATTCAGCAATTTTTAAATGTACTTTTAAGGGCCTTTGTCTATTTTCAGATTATTTTTAAGCAGTAAGCACTTATGCAGAGACTATTCTAAAATGTATGAAAAGGATGAAAGATTGGTGAGTCACAAGGATTTGGATAATGAACACGATGGTCTTCTAGTGTGCTACAACGTTAATCTGCAGTGGGAGAGAGAGAGAACTTCTAGTTCCTGATCCAAGGATGCCTAACACATTTTACACAATCACCAAAAATATTGGGAAAGATGATCTCCAATGGCAAATTAGGTACCTATGAATCCTGGACAGATTAGCTAAGGGAACCTGAGGATTACACTGCTAGCCTTCAGTGCTTCAAATTCCACTAGAAAAATAATTTCTGCCATATATGTTAATATCCACTAGGGTAAATTAGCCAGTTCTAGGCAATCACTGCCGTATCAGTTTAGCAATCCCTACGTTATACTGTAACTAGCAAGGCCAACTAACCTCCGTCTCATTTTTTGGTCCTTTGGTGAATCTGACCCTAAAAGTCTAAGGTACTTATCTATGTGTGATTATTAGGACAACTGCTAATTCCCCTGCCCCCAGTGAATGAACTGGCTCAAATAAAGACTATTTTCAGGCTGTGCTTGGCATCCTGCCTCCTGGCCCTGCTATAGTCTTCATTTACTCCCACTGCTGCTCACACAGTTATGGAATTAAAATCTTCATTCCTGTAAAAATTGTTCACAGTTCTTCATCTTTCTTGGAAAACTTAGTATTGCATGATATGACTTTCAGCTTCATAATGCAATACTTGTAAGGAGGAGAAGTCTAAGAATACAGCTGTATATGAAGTCATGCTGTTCCTAGAGCTAGAGACAAGCGAGAGACACTAGGTAAGAGATCTAATAAGATTACCTTGATTTCTTTAAATACAAGGACTCCCCACATTGCAGCAACAAGGCCAGGACCCTAAAGAATAAGATTCATTTGTACATTACAGCATTTCACTAAAATGTGCCGCCTTCTCATTATTGTTCTCAGGGTGGTTGAATTTTGTCTGGATAACAGATTTAGGCCTTTCCATTCCGTATAATTAACAGCACTTACGGCAAAAGCATAAACATCACTGAAATCTTTACAAAGTAAGACACAATAAAATCTTCAAGAAGGGCTAAAGAGGCAAGAAACTGTTTTTTTCAGAGAAGGCACAATTTATTTCTAAATTACACTGTGGAGTCTGCACTGGCTGTTATACGTTCTTTTAGTAGGCTCCAAACAATAGGCCTCACTTTAGTCCAAACTACAGTCCACAATGTTACCACATTTCAGAGGACTATTCAGGTTTATTGGCAGCTACCATGGATATTCCCAACATTTCCTTTATTAGCATGGCTAACTAGTTGGACAAAGTTTGATTTTATCGCTCAGTATGATATCAAGAGACAGGAACGTAAATGTATTTCCTGTATAGCAGGCATCTGGACAAAGCAAAGCCAGCCAGATAGATAAGTCAGGAAAACTACTGATTATCTGTGACGTTGTCGTACAGATTTCCTAGCTAACAGCAAACAGTGATACACAATAATAATTTCCAGGCACTCCTGGTAATATAGTTTTTCCCCTGTGGGAGCAATGATCTGAATTTTCATGACTGATGAGAAAATATTATCTGAATATGAAGCGAAAACTGGTTCTGTTAATGCTTCCCATTAGAGCTGCTCTCAGAAACACTTGACAGATGTTTGGACAGTGATCTTCCTCTCTCCATCTTCAGTACCGCTGATAGGACACAGATTTAGGCCAGCAGGAAACAGTGTCTCATGCTGAATGTATTTGTGGGTGTTGTTTCCTAGTGAAATTGCCAACTATTATTTGAATAATAGCTAAGGTGTTACTTCACTTTCTAGATAACGTACGTTGCGAGAGGAATGCATTTTAAAAATGAAACAAATTGTTAAAGGGATGTGATGAATAGCTGTCTGAAATTCTCTCTAGGATGAAGTAAAGCAGCAGTTGCGAACCTGTGGTCCAGATAGGCAGTTTCTCATCAGTGCTGTCCTTAAATTTTTCATTTCGTCATTTTATATCCTTGCCCTTTAGGCATACTGATAACTGAGTTACTAAAGCTGCTTTCCATTAATCCTTCAATTTCTAATTAGAATGATCCCAAGCCTTTTTTTCATTGCATACTGCAGAGTTTATTCTGATTTACTGCATCTTGAGGCAAAGCTTAATCCATATTAATGTTGTTTCATTAGATTGCTTCCAAAATACAGCTGTTCAGCAAAACTTTGGTTTTGGTATTTATGAACTCCCATTTGCCAGAAGTTATCCACCTTTGCAGTTATCCACCTTTACTTTACTCCAGAAAGTAAAGGCAAAGTTTATTTTTACCTAGTGATGGAATTTATGCAGCTTCTGGAAATTAACAGTGCTTTAAAGGTACAGTATCATAAATAGGAATAAAACAGACAAAACGGGCCAACCTATTTTTCCCTCATTGGCACAAAAACATTATTTTCAGCAACACATAATCTGTTCTGCGTGTTCAAGAACTGTAAAAAAGAAAAAATACCTGACTTAACTAAGCAAAACGACTGCAAGAGGATAAAAATCACAAATGAAAACATCCAGAACAAAATGTACTTGCTGGGATGAAAGTATAAAACGTTTCTTCTTTTAATCACTTCAGTTTACTATTTAATATTGATATAGTGCTGGTTACAGAGCTTTGGATTTTACATAACCTAAAGACTCACGTTTTCAATTCCTCTGTTTTTTATGCTTGGCATTCACCAAGATGGTGCTTGTCACAGTCATGTATGTTCCTAAAAAACCAAAGGCTAGCACAGACAAGCACAAGAAGAGGCAATGTATACTCTTGATTAAAATGCTCTAGACATGTCATAACTTCAACTTAATTCCACAAATGGGGGGTGGGGGGCAAACACTTCACTTCTAATTCTAGTCACAGATTTTGTTTTTTATATACTTACTGCAGTAATTATTGGAAAGCTGACCACAGCACTGAGATAGTGATTGGCTATGAACCAGCAGCAATTGGCTATTGCCCAAAGTACACCAGAAACAAACCCTAGAAAAATAAATCCCAAACAAAAACATGCACAGCAAGGTATAGACAGCAATTTGTGGAACATTTAAATTCATAGCATAATACAGAAACTGTATGTATGTATGTATTTTAGTATGTTAACTACTTTAACAAGCTGGCTCTGATAATCTAAACCAAAGCTCAAAGGACAAAATCAGCTACTCCAACTGAAGTAGCAAATTAATTAAAGTTCACAATTTTCTGGGCAATGTGCTCTCTACTCTCGCAGAGTCAGTTTTTGAAAATCCACCGTATGCGATATCATTTTGTTCTAATTTCAGGTTAGAAAAAAATTTATCATTGTTTCCTAACCTTAATTAATTAACCTAATAGGAGCGATCTTTCAAAAGAGACAAAAAGTCAGATGAGGAGACTTGAAAGGTGAACTACAATTCCAACACATAGCTTGAACTAATCACTGCAAAATGGTCAGAAGAAGTAATTGAAATTAATTGCTAATTTAAAAAACAGTCATACCTGGCAATATGGCTTGGGGATAAACATTAGGTTTATTTTTCCTGACTACACAATAGATCAAAAAGTAGACAGTACTTGTAAGAAATATTCCACTGAAGTGTGCAAACACATAATCTAAATCTGAAAGAGAAATTACAAAATTATATTAATTTAAAACATCAGCTATTAATTTTAACTAAATTTATTTCACTGATAGCATTCACATAGACAAAACCACATAAGGTGCTACTGCTAACAACTCAAATTCAATTGTGATTGTGACGAATACAGCTGCCAGTCTGACCGTGGATGGATTTAGTTAATCGCACATTATTAAACATGAATTAACTGCTGCATTGACCCTAGGATTTATCACAAGCTTTTATGCATTTTTGTGAGTTGTTCTTTTTGGAACTCTATTAGTCAAACATTTTATTTATTAAAAACTTAAGAAAATCCTCAGATGAGGCTACAAAACTGAGGTGGGGATTTTACATAGTTACATCCTCTCCTGACCATCTACATTTGTATTCCTGGATATAGCCTTGTTTCTTTTCTGTACATTTAAGGGCAAGACAACTGCATGTACTGTGTAAGCTAAACATGGCACAGTTTTGTCCTGTTTTTTATCTTGAAAAACATATCACAATTTTGACCACTATGATCATTAACAATAATAAATCCTTTATGGACTTGGTATGCGCTAAAGAGAATATTTCCAATATGGTGAAGCAGAAGCATGTAGCAAGGTGATCTCTATCTCCTTGGAGTTGTAAATCCTCAACAGGAAAGGCAGCTACAGTAATGATAACATCTGTTTTGTCTAGCTGGGGAATATATAAATTGCATTATTCAAGAGAAATTGTATGTGACATAGCAATTTCTTAACGGCAACATTATGCGGTTTCAGCAATATGTTGCTCTTAAGCTACTGCTGGTATTACCTGATAGACTATACAATAAATCTTAAGGAAAACGTTTCTGGGGATGTTGTTTGAATTACCTGACAGACTATACAATAAATCTTAAGGAAAATGTTTCTGGGGAAATGTTGTTTGAAACTGGCAATTAGGCTTATGTTAAAAGGTTTCCATTTCAAAACCTACAGGTTTTAATTACTTACGTTGTTATGTATCTCTTCTGCTCATCAATTATGACAAGCTTCTCGTCTTCCTTTATTGGTGTACTAATTAGGCAATTGGTACAGCTTGTGCCCTTGTTTACCTCATGTTCCAGGCATATGAGCTTTGTATTTTGAGAACGCTAGCTATGTTTCAGAAGGCACTAAACACTATGACTTAAGTATGGTATCCTCTGGGCTGTTTCTCACTGTTATTTTAGCGGTGTAATTCACCTCTGGGAAAAAGGAAGTACTAGTGCTGTGATTACGACAACATATAACATAGTGCAGAACTGATAAGTTGTTGTGGTATATTTCCAGGCATATCAAGAATTTCACCCTGTGCCTTTACGAAAGCAGGGGACCACCATATACTGATGAAATAAAGTAGAAGTGACCTATTAGCCTTTACCAAATTGACTTGCTCCTGTGTATATAGTTTCATTTCTTCTTCCATGGTCCTTGATGTAAAGTACTGGTACAAAACTGGAACCGTAAAGTATTCCAGCTACTACAGCCAGGATACATCCTCTTTAAAAAGAGCAAAAATCAGAGAAAATAGCCTCGCGTTAATTAGGGAAGTAGACAATACACTTAAGACAAGTCCAGTATTGCAGTTACAGACTGTGTATCATATGAAGATTGCTAGCAACACTATAAAAATAATACATTTTAGCACATTTTTATTTTCTAGTGCAGAAATGGTTCAACGTAGTAACTTAGTTTTCTTATACTTTGTGGCCAAGTAACACAGACAATTCCTGCCCAAAGAGTCTGCAGCCTGAATTAATGACAAGAGAAATCGACTAACTAGGATTTCCTAAACACAGAGCTAGCAGAAAACGAACAAAAATATAGTTCAAATGCTCCCACCATCAGCTTCACTGTTGCAGTCTATATATTCTTTATAACTATTCCCAGGTTCATTGCCTACATGGTCCCCTTCTCTGCCTCTACATCATTGTGTTCTTCACTGTCTCCACTCCCCACACTGGCCCCTTGCTAGCTACTGCTTCCACCTTGGAGCACTTCTGCTGTCTCCTTACCATACTGCCATGCCTTCTCCAGATGTATTCACTCGGAAACCACACCTGGAAGCACGTTATTAGCATAGGCTCCCACTATGCTGGAGTGCTAATCAACCAGGTGATAAAACACAGCTCTGTAATTACTTAGTTGCTATTGCTATTTACTTTGCAAATGTTGTTCTTTTGTACTAGTAACTAATACTTACTCGATAAGGTAAAGCACACTCAACAGTGCAAAGGAAAAAATCTAATAAATTGAGCAGCTATTCATATATAGATATGCACACTAGACTAGTACTTTAAAAACTGTTAGCGCATGACTGCTAGGAAAACCACAGGACACAAATTCTGCTCTTCCTCTGTGTTCAACTACTTTGTCCGGCTATTTGGTCTGCACCAGTGAAAGAACTGTTAATAACTTACATGAGTCTTTTTTTTGCTGGAGAAAGTCTGTTCACCCATGAGTCATCAGAGGTATCTTCAGAAACATTAATAGACTGCAAAAAACCAAGAGTTTTCACTCAGTTTTTGTTTTTGGTTTTTTTTTTAAATCTCAAACATTGTATTAAACAGAACAGTTTTGATCTAAGAAAATAAAATTAAAATGGAAGGAAAAACAATAGGAATTTACAGAAATACTCTGAAGAAATAACAAAATAATAATTGGATCTACCTACCTCAAAGTTTACAAGTATGAGTTTGGATATGGATTTGGGGTTTACTACATAATAGAGCACTCACTAGCATTTTTTTTTAAATCTGCATGCAGGTAGATCTGATTTTCAAAACTCATCCTTCCTTAAATTTCATGAATGATTTAATCTATAGATTTTACTTATGACGTGTTTTTGCCTTCTGTCGACAGCTCTGGTGTTACTATCAGAATATTAGGACTATTTGCAAAGAGGGAAATTAACACTCTTGTCTGCAGCATAAAGAAATTGCAACATCCCTTTATTCTAATCCTGCAACCAGATTGTCTTCTGTGATTTGCTCTGGTAAACTGGAACCTCTACTGAGCATTGAGCACAGCTAGAAAACTCTGAGGAGCTCTCTGTTCAGGTAGCAACTGAGTTTTGATGCATCACTGACCTACAAGAGTAAGGTACAATGGTAGTAGGAGCCTACTGTTCTCCAGCTTTTGTTGCATACTTTGGGCTCCCGAAGGAGCGACAGCCAATCTGGCACCCCTCCTTGGCTTCCAGCCTGTGCCACAGCTGACGCTGAGAACCAGCAACTCTTGACAGTCTTCTGGCTCTGTAATGTGGCAAAAATCTGGTGGATAAGAGTAACACACCATGTTGCCTTTCATCTAAGCACCCTCCTAGTTTTATAGTTAAGTTTTAATTAAAATTGCTTCCTATTTTCGGATAGGGAAGTTATACACTCTGTCTTTTATATAACCTCTGTCATAATGAGAAAGGACTTCTAAGCCATTTAAAGCTCACAATAGAGAAAGAACACTTGGGAAAACCTTTTCTGTTGCTCACATTCAGCTGGCTATACAAGATCCGCAAATTAAATACAATCAATGCATATTTATGTAGCTTTATGTAGTCTACCACAAATCCTAGCAAATCTGGTTAACATTAAGCAATTTTTTTGTTTTTAAATGGTAAGTACTTTCACTGCTGTAAAATAACAACTGTAGAATACTTACGCTTTCTCTCAGTAAAGGTGTACTTTCTAATGAAGCTGAAGAACTCTGGACTTCAGTTTTTATAAAAAGAAATATGACGGCACTCAGAAGAGAAAAATACACCAATAAATACCACGTCAGCTCATAAGGACATAACATTTAGCATCCAGATACAAAAGTTATATTTGGAGGCATACTACTTTATTTTCATTATTGCCTTAGAGTCGCTTCAATATATTTTAAAAATACAATTGCTTTTAACAGTCTTAACAAATGACTTAAATGAAAGTAAGTAAATAAATTAGTCTTTCTATCACTTTATAGATCTCTCTTCCATGTAATGGGATTGAAATGTCTCCTTTTTACAGTGTGTAGTTACAACCACATGCTAACAACAGTTGCTTTAGTTAACAGTGCCCATTCGTACTAAACCACACATACAATGGAACATCTGCATGAAAATTCTGCATGGAACAACTTAAACCTGCACAGAATTGACTCTGTACCCACGGAAAAATGTTAGGTTTTAGTATTCTATCATAGGAGGCTGAGGGGAGACCTTAACGCTCTCTACAACTACCTGACAGGAGGTTGTAGCGAGGTGGGTGTCGGTCTCTTCTCCCAAGTAACTCGTGATAGGACGAGAGGAAATGGCCTCAAGTTGCACCAGGGAAGGTTTGGATTGGATATTAGGAAAAATTTCTTCACTGAAAGGGTTGTCAAGCATTGGAACAGGCTGCCCAGGGAAGTGGTTGAGTCACCATCCCTTGGAGGTATTTAAAAGACGTGTAGATGTGGTGCTTAGGGAAATGGTATAGTGGTGGACGTGGCAGTGCTAGGTTAACGATTGCACTTGATGAACTTAAAGGTCTTTTCCAACCTAAACGATTCTGTGATTGTATGACTCTATACGCGAGTGAGGGAATACTGGTCCTACAGGGCCTCAAGCGTATGTGGAAGGAGAAGGGGTATTGCTCAGTGATGCTCCAGCGCACTAAGTGAATAAAATGAAGAAGAAAGGGTAACATTACTACTTGTACCCCCAGTTCCAGTAAATCAGGTAAATACGTGTAATCAGAACTGGCAGGATCTGTTTTTTATTTTTATGCAAGATATTTTAATGATTTAGGAATTTCTTCTCATAGCTGTAAACAGAATGTCTCCGTTTGAAGAGTGATCCATCTGCTGAAGGAATAAGGATGGATATAAAAGGATGTCAGCTTCCTCCAGAGGGACTAGGCAAACATGCACAGGTTCCACACAAGAGGCTAAAATGAAATACATGCTTCTAAGCTCTGTAGAGCAACACACACAGGCTTCGTGCAGTTTGCCAGGAAAACATGTTTGGTCAGGATCTTTTTCCCTGTTGATCACTTCTCCGTGATATCTCAGAAACAGGCAGGAAGCAGATGGTGAGCTGAATGAATTCATCAGGCAGGAATAGCAGTATTGTTACTATTTTGTGAGTACCTCACAAAATCATGTGCTACATGTAACAGCAATGGGCAAAAAGCTGCAGAATCTTAGGAAAGAGGAAGACTAGAAGCAAAATTCATGAATCTAAGGCAGCAGCTCTCTCCTAGCAATCAAGAATGGCTCCATCATCTCCATGTTCTTAACACCCTTTTTTCCTAAAGGCATTATGTACATCTGCTGTTTAGCACACTTATGGCAAACCTACTGCCCCTGGGATTTAGAGCCACTGTTACGTTCCTAGAAAGACCTTCCTGGCCACGCAGTTAGAAAGCAAGAACACTGCTACATAGCAAAGACCCTCTTTCCTCTGTGTTTGGACCAAAATGTGCACTCATACAAATAATAAGCAAAAAATAAGAGCAGAAGTGCTTCTGAAGATCCCAAAGTAAGCCGCTGTTTGGGAATTGTTGTAAGTGTGGCTTAAGAGTTACAAGACAGGGAGCTATTACCCTGGTATCAATACAGGCTGGGGGATGAAGGGATGGAGAGCAGCCCTGCCGAGAAGGACTTGGGGGTACTGGTGGATGAAAAGCTGGACGTGAGCCAGCAATGCGTGCTCACAGCCCAGAAGGCCAATCATGTCCTGGGCTGCATCAAAAGGAGCGTGGCCAGCAGGTTGAGGGAGGTGATTCTGTCCCTCTCCTCTGCTCTGGTGAGACCCCACCTGGAATAC